GTTGCAGGGAGCGAGACCTTGGCTGTGCTCTTCCTTTGCCTGGTTAGCTCTGCGTCCTTTCTGTTATTATTATTCTTATTGCTATTGTTTCATCTTTGAGTCTTACAAGCTTCTTTCAGAAGGGGCAGAGTCCTGGAGCCATAGTGTTTATGGTCTCCTGGTGTTGGTGGGCTCGAGGGGAGAGATTGGCAGCGTCTTGGTCCATTTGGGACATTTCCAGGGCCCGTGGGTGGGTGCTAAAGCCCAGAAGAATCAGATAAGATTAGGGGATGAGACAGTTACAGACAAATATCTCCAGCCTGGGGGTAAAGGTCATTTACCCCCAGCTCTCCGTCCATCTCTCCTCATGACACTCGCATTATTTGTGGGGTGTCGGCTGTTACGGGCGTGGGGGTGGGGGTGGTTACATTGGTCGCGACTGCGCAAGACGTTCTGATGGGTTTGAGGAGGTAACTGATAAGCAACTGTGAAAATGTAAATTTTGAAGTTGGGCTTGTCTTGTTTGCAGGAAATGTGTCAGGAAGAGAATCACTTTTCCTGAGAATATGAGAACCACATGACTCTGTCCTCATTCTCCACCTCAGGTTGGTCGTGGCCTCCGGGATGTGGTGGGGAGGTTTCCACCAGTGGCGACAGAACAAATTCACCAACATGCCACAGACACAGGAGCTGAGTTTCTGGTTCCTCTGAGTCATGGGTTCATGCCTTCTTTAGGATGCGGAGGTTTCTTTTTGGCATCGCAGGGAACGTTCTGAAAGCTTCTGATGTGCTCCAAGTCAGCCATTGCTTCCCCATCCTCTCCCTGGCCGAGTTCCCTGAGCCGAGAACCCTGGGTGAAGTTCCATCAATCCCCATCCCAGGAGCAGGGCAGGGGTGTTCCTTGGAGACCTTGCTCCTTTGTCCCCCTCAACTCCCCAGCTTAAGAGGCCTGTGAGGATGGATTCTGAGAGACCTGAGAGAAAACAGCTAGCATTCCTGCGGAGGCAGCCTAAGCTTTGAAGTCTGGTGATCTTTCTCTCTGAGTTTCAGGGTCATCTCTTTCTAGCTATGCGACTTTGGATAAGTCGCTTTGCCTCTCTGAGCCCTAGTCTCCTCATCTGTACAACGAAGGCCAATCGTATCTTCCTCCCAGCATTGTTTTCAGGATCACACTAGAGAATATGTGTGTAACATATTCACCGTTGTAACTGGCACATAGTAGGAGCTTTTCCTCTTCTAAGACAGGATCATATCTGCAACAATGAGTGTCCTATGTTACAAACTCCAAGAGAGAGATTTTTCAAAACAGAGCTCCTGTTTTGTTTTATTTATTTATTTATTATTATTTTTATTATTTTTTAAAGATTTTATTTATTTATTTGAGAGAGAGAATGAGAGAGAGAGAGAGCACATGAGAGGGGAGAGGGTCAGAGGGAGAAGCAGATCCCCTGCAAGGAGCCCGATATGGGACTCAATCCCGGGAGCCGAGCCGAAGGCAGTCGCTTAACCAACTGAGCCACCCAGGCGCCCTTGTTTTATTTTTTTAGTGAACTCTGTGCCCAACGTGGTGCTTGAACTCATGACCCTGTGATCAAGAGTCGTGTGCTCTACTCACTGAGCCAGCCAGGTGCCCCCAAAGAGAGCCACTGTTGATAAGAATGAGTCTCTGCTCTGGGATGGGGGTCGCGTGGTGGGGTGCGGGCGCCCGGCGGCTCTGACTAGAGTGAGGAGTGGAGGCCTCAAGAGGGAGTTCTGTGTTCCTGTCACAAGGGGGCAGTGTTGGCAAACACGCCACAGCTCCCTGCGCTGCAGAGAGGCCCAAATCAGAATTTTACCTCCAATTTAAATTATTTTTAGAAAAAAAAAAATTATTAGAATGCGAATGCTCTTAGAGATCACCTAATCCCATGAGTCTACATCTCGGGAAATGGAGGCTCGGAGAGACGAAGGCCTTTCCCCAAGACCACAGAGCAAGTCAGTGGCAGAGCTGGGTTCACCACTGACCCAGGGCTTCTGACTTGATTCATTCAGTTAACAGCCATTTGCCATCTGCACTCTCCCATCACATTCCTCATCTCAGGACTGGGGAGCGGGGGAGAATGAGGTGGGCTTGAGAGCCCTTGGTTTCAGTCTTAGCATCCCTGTGTTCAGAGGTACCCAGAGTCCCCGAGATCTTAGTTCTATATTCTGCACCTCACTTACTGCCAGTTAGTATCCTAGTGAGAAGCAGTGCAATAGTCTGGTATTTTCTTTTTCTTTTCTTTTCTTTTTTTTTTAAGAGTTTATTTATTTATTTGACAGAGAGAGACAGCCAGAGAGAGAACACAAGCAGGGGGAGCGGGAGAGGGAGAAGCAGGCTCCCTGCTGAGCAGGGAGCCCGATGCGGGGCTTGATTCCAGGACCCTGGGATCATGACCTGAGCCGAAGGCAGACGCTTAACGACTGAGCCACCCAGGCGCCCCTAGTCTGGTATTTTCTTAAATCCAGGGTAAATGGGTGGCCTAGCTTTGGTTTACCTGCTCTTTTACGGGATGAGAAGGACGCCGGTCTAGCGGTCTGTGTTAAGGCTTGCCCTGTAGTTCATCGGGCTTTTGCTCCCTTAGGAACTAGGTAAATGCTAATGCCTGACCTTCCTCGGGTGATACTGACAGTTGACAAGAACAAGGCAACTCACTGCTGAGGAGGCTGAGGCCCAGAGGCTCAGAGAGGAATAGTAACTCACCCAGGTCACACAGGATTTCCAGATTCTGAGCTTCGGCTCTTTCTGGGCTGGCCCAGGAGGGCGGGCGGGGGAGGACTGAGATGGCCCACCTTCATGATTTGTGTCCCCGGGCCAGGTGCTTGGTCCTGCCCCGGCAAGTCCCTCAGCAGAATGTTCTTTGCGCAGACTCCTTCCCTCCTCCCACGTCGCCCCCTCCCCACTGCAGCTTCCCTGAGAGAGTTCCTTTCTAAAGCAGTCACTTGCTGAATCGGTTGCTAGTGGAAATGTGGTTTTCAAATTTGGGAAATCTCCATTAAGTCCTTTTATTTAAGGAGGATGTCATTATCACGCCTCCCCAAGGACTATTACGGTTCTATTAGGCAAGGCCGCAGACTTCCTAGGTACTGTCTGGGGTCGATTCCTGGGCAGGAAAATGTGAGACAGGAAGAAGGGGAGGGGGGAGGAGAGAGAGCACCGGGGATGGAGGAGAAGGAAGAAAGGCGGAGAAAGAGCGGAAGAACAGGAGGGAAAGAGAAGGGAGTGTGGAGTGCAGAGGAGAGGCAGAGGGCACAAACCCTTCGCTCCCAGGTGGCGGAGAGAGGGCACAGGCCCTGGGCCCTTGGCCACCTGCTAGTCCAGACCGGTTAGGATGAAACTGGAGGGAGATGCCTGCCCTTCCTTCTGTCACCCTTCCAAGCAGAGCGCGGACACAGGGGAGTCCAGATGACACAGACCTTCATGCCCTCCAGCTGCCAGGCCGGCCTCTGGCCTCCAGGTTCAGACTGGGGGGGCTCTCTGAGGGACAACGGAAGAGGATGCCTGGGGCGGGGGAGCAGTTCTGGAAATGGGGTTTGGGTTCAGGACTCTGGCCTTCCTGACCACTCGTCAGTGAACAGCCTGCTTTCCCATTCTCTGCCACTCTCTCTAGAAGGTGAGTTGCAGGAAAACAGAGGCTCCTCTCTGCTCTCTGCTGTCTCCCGGGCACCTAAACCCATGCCAGGCACGTGGTAGATGTTCGCCAAGTGTTTGTGGAATGAATCACAAACAGAAACAGTTCCATTGCTTCCCCATCCTCTCCCTGGCCGAGTTCAAAACAGTCTTCTGGTTCGAATGGACCTTCTCTCTGTCCTCAGCAAAGCCTGGTAACTCTTGATGGTTTCAGATTACACACACACACACACACACACACACACACACACACACCCTGGACAGGGTTTAGGGAGCATCAGGAACCGCATGGCAAGCAGCTGACACTGACTTGGCCAAATGAGAAAGAAATAAAAGATATGCTTCTCCTGGGACCTGCCAGTTCGGGGGTTACCGGCCGCAGGCTGGAGGCGGTTTCCAACCTCCGGGCAGGAAGGCTGATGCTCCTGGGACAAACATCCTGGCTGGGAAATCCCCTGGCCTGGGGCGTCCTTGGGGCCCCGCAGCTTCGATGCGTGCCATCCTGGCCTCTTCAGACCTCCCCCCGGCTCTGGGCTGGAGGCCAGGCCCCCCCACTCTGCCCTCAGGAGCCCGGGTGAGAGCTCGCCCCTGCCCTGGGGTGCCCCTCCCTCGGGCTCCTGTGCAGCGGTGATTAACGAGGCAGCCGGAGCCCCTCTTACCCAGCTGTGTCAACAGGCCCCCGCCAGCTGCAGGTACGGGAGACAGCCGGGGCCCAGGGCGGTGGTCTCCTCCGCGCCTGTTGTCCCACCACCAGGGGCTCCCTTTGCGGCCCCGGGCCTCCTGCTGGGCCAGCAGAGTCTGATGGTGATGATGATGATGATGGTGATGATGAGTTTATGGTGCGGACAGCACTTGATATTTGCAGAGAGCAGGGCCCTCCTGTTTCTCTGCTCCTTCCTGCGGCTGGAGCCAGAGGGTGGGGATGTGGCTCTCTTTGGGTCACGGGGAGCAACTGGGCGGTATAGTTGCTAGAGCTTATACGGCCTCCTCTGTGAAGCCTTCCCTGATCGTCCCAGCAGACGGCCTCCTCTGTGAAGCCTTCC